ACCACCGCCCCCACCGCCCCCAGCTAGCCGAGCCCGTCATGGACACCTCGTTTGCCGTCAAGGTCATCCGGTGGACCAAAGACTATTCGGGCGATGACCCTTTCACCACGCCCATCCTCTTGCAGGACGCCAACGGACCGTGCCCGCTTATTGCGCTCGTCAACCTGCTACTTATCAAGAACGATATTCTCCATCACAAGTGGCATCATGACTGGGCGTCGGTGCCTGCCGACGTCAAGGCCCGGATGGCTCGAATAGACGAGTTCAACCAGCAGTTGATGAAGCACGCGACGCTGCTGCAAAAGATTAGCCTTAACGAGCTTTTGACTCACTTGGGGGACCTCGTGCTCTTTTTCAGCCAAAATACCATGGTCGACATCGACCAGGTGCTTAACCAGCTCCCGCGATTGCATACGGGACTCGACGTTAACCCCAACTTGATTAATGGGACATTCGCCGGCAACGACTTGGCACTGACGCTTTTTGGCATCTTCGACCTCAAATTCCGCCACGGGTGGTGTGTGAATCAGGTAGATCCAGAAACCGATGAATGGCCTCATGATTACAACTATGAAACGACTGTGGACACGTTATACCGTCTTCAGACGTTCGACCGCGCCCAAGATTTCCTCCTCAGCAGCGACGACGACGCTGCCAAACAGCTTGTAAACAAGTGGTTGGATGTCAATCGTACTCAGCTCACTAATAACGGTTTACTGCGGCTCAATATCGACGCGGCTGATGATGAAGTGCTCGTGTTTTTCCGTAATAACCACTTCAACACCCTCTATAAACGGGGAAACCACGAGTTTTACCTCTTGGTCACCGATATGCTGGTGCAGAAGCTGAACAAGATCATCTGGCAGCTGCTCAATCTGATTCTGGGACTGGACGACTTATTTTTCACGGGGGAGTTCTACCCGGTGCTTGAAATGGATGACACTAATGACGCTGACACCGATTTAGCTAAGCAGCTCCAGCAGGAAGAAGATGCCGCTCTTGCCCGTAAAATGCAAGATCAGTACGACAAAAAGCCTAGAGGTATGCGCCTGCGGATGCAAATACGGCGGAAAGAGAAGGGAGCTCAGGACCCAGCACCTAGCCTGATGCTTATCGACGACGAAGATCCTCCTGAAGAGTCGATGATCCCGAAACCTAAGTCAATGTCGACTCCACCGACCAAGCGAGTGGTGAAAGCAGCCCTGCCAGCAGCGGCCCCTGCAGCATCGTCATCAAAGAAGAAAAAGGTGTGTGTAATCATGTAACGTTATAATGTATCTACACATTTTTAATAATATATAACCCGAAAATCCAAATCATGGTCATCAGTGAGCTGTGCGTGTGTCCGCAGATCGATGACCTCGGGATGACGACCGACATAGCATTGCACCCCGCATTGTCGGAAAATGCCATAAAAAATCCTTCAGCATCGTGTGTTCAAATATCCTTAACCTATTACGACAAACGACATTCTTCAGTTAAAGTTTGCGGTGCTTGGTTCCCTTAACACTTACACTTGTTTAGCCGTATAGCCCAAGATCGATCTCAGACACAGGACGATGCGACTGCACCATGTACTCCTATCATTTGACTCAGCCTTCGACTGAGAGTAACGTCTGGTCTAGACTAACGCCACATTCAAGATAATAAGCCAAATGGCTTGCACTACATTTCGGCATAAGGTTAACGTGCTTGTTGATATTATGACATACAGATTATCTCTGAGCGCATTATTCCTTGTTAAGATGTTCGCTAAGGTCATCCTCCTCATCGTCTTCCGCTTCGTACTCCATTGGGTCGTACTCACTGCGTACGGCATCGATTTTTTTCAACTCGTCCGTTGAAGGTTCCCGCAACGTAAAGTTGATTTGGTCCATAGTCAGCTTGGCCAAAAACTTATTGATTTCAGTGTTTGTCAGCGCTCGGTACTTTTTCAAGTCCACGCGGCCCTTAATGGGGTAGTAATACGCGCATTTGCGCTTGGTGGATTTGGGGCCGGCGGTGGCAAACTTGATCGCCAACTCTTCATTTTGCTGCTGCGCCGGTGTAAACTTCACGTCGTAGTTCTTGTGATGCTTGAACGTGTAGGTGTGTTCATCCAGCCGTTCCGGTTGCTCCTTTTCTTGCAGGTGCAACCGCAGCTTCAAGTCGTCCGCTTGGTCAGCTTCAACTTCGAACAAAGAGATCCACTCCCCGTCGGGCAGAGTGATGGGACGGAAAATCGCCAGCTCCAACTGGTTGCGGTGCTCGTCATACTTGTTGCCCAACTCTCGCATGATCAGGGCCAGCCCAATGAACTTGACGTTCAAAAACTTCGAGTCGCTTTGAGCGGTGTCTGGCAACAACGGCCACGTAGCCTTCGCCTTTAATTGCTTGCGGCGAGGATGATGAAGCTTTTCCAAATTGTGCAAAGTCTCGTGAGCCCGGTCGAAAGACTCCTCGATCATTTGCAATTGGGAGGCAGGGTCGGTGTCTTCCTCGTTCTTCTGCTTCAAGTCGGACGCTGCCAGTTGAGGTAACGTCAGCTTCTCCGAAATGTATTCGGTTCTCCGCAAGAAAGACACTTCCAACTCTTTCTTGTTCATTTGGGAGATACCAGCGTCACGCAAAAGCTCCCGATCGTCATCGTGCAAGGTCACTTCTTTCTGCTGAGATCCGCTGATTGCCAGAGAGTCATCTTCATCGAGGTAACCGGGGTTATTGATAGGATTCAAATGCATGCCAAATTCTTCATCCGGATGGGCAATGAATGTTTTGAAGTTCTCTTTGCGGAACAACGACAGCATCAACTGCTCCCCCTCCCGCTTTTGCGAAGTCGGCTCCGTAAGCCCATACTTGAGGAACTTTGGGTTGAGCGGCGGTGGCGGAAGACTGTTCTGGTACCGGACCTTGGCGATGTAGTCCTGGCGCACTGGCTTCGACATGGTGAGGTGCGGACACCGCGAGTGAGATGCGCGTGGACAACTTATAACCCTCATCAGCCCCACAAAAGACCTCGACATATCAGAGGTAGAGATGACAACTATATTGTATCAGTATTACAAAGGTTCATCTGATGTAGCGGGGCGATTTACCCTTTTAAAATAAAGCGTTTGATTCAGTTGGAGAGTTTACACTCAACTTCGTCTTTCGCTCTCAGTGCAAGCGAAAAATTTACAAGGCCTGAAGGTTTAAAATGAGAACTAAGTGATGGTTACCGAATGAGACTTAAACTTTTATTCAGTATCATAGAACTTTTGCTACACTAAACCGGGATCCCCTGATCAACCGTCGTATTCAGTGGGGTCGTTGCCGCCCCAGGCAATGACATCGTGTGAGTTGGGCTTGTTCAATTTCGCCAATACACCGGGGTCCAAGTCAACCTTGCCCATAAAGCGTTCCACGGTACAGTCGTCGTCAGGCTTACCCGGAGGAAGCACGTCAAAGTTTTCTTTCATTCTCTTGACGTCGGACAGCTTCACAAGCACAATGAACCCTTGCAAGTACGACCACTTGAGCAAGATAGCAGCCGCCAGGTCGCCAGATTGTTGTGCCAACAGCTTAAGTTCGGGATCATTAAGCTTTTTGCCTTGAGTCAACGGTGAGTACGCTTCCAAGTGAATGTCTTTACGGACGCAGTACTCACGTAATTTCACTTGAGGACTCCATGGGTGCAACTCCAATTGATTGATCACGGGACGCACCGTCAAGCCATCCCATTCAAAGAGTTCATCCAAGTGGCGAATACCATAGTTCGACACCCCTAACAGTCGGATAAGGATGTGGTCATTGGGTTTGGTGAATTCTTGCAACGCTTTCCAAGTGCCTAACCGCTTCTTTTTGTTGGTCAACGGCAGGTGAACCAACACAAGGTCCACATAGCCGACGTACTCCTTGACATCGTCAGCGATTTTCTTCACCGCCTCTCTGGTTTCGTCATAACCATGGTCGTCGTTCCAAATCTTGGTGGTGAACCAGATATCTTCTCTAGGAGTCTTGGTGTCCTGGCAGAACTTGTGGATCGCTTGAGCACACTCGCGTTGATTGCCGTAAATTTCAGCCAGGTCGATGTGACGGTAGCCAATTTCCAACGCTTCGTACACCAACTTCAGGGCGTCCTCAGCAGGCACTTGCCAGGTACCGTAGCCGGTGACCGGAATCAATTGGTTGTTGTGCAAGCGGTATCTCGACAGTTGCGTAAGCTGAATCAGAGTAGTGATCGACATGATTGCAATTGCTTATAGGGGAAAGTGGCGGGTTATTTGCTTGTCGGTATGGTGCGGTGCGCACCACCCACCGTGTGTAATGATTAATAGGAAGCATGCAGGTGGTGTCTGCGTCAATTACGGCGAGTTAACGTGTTCACGAGACAAAAATAGTCGTACATGTTTGTATAGTATATGTGGTAGATGGGATGTAATCTCCTAAATTGTTCGATAAGTATCAGACGACAAATCAGCCGGTACTGTCATGATTTTAGTCTGCTGGCGTGCCTTACTACTGGTCATGCTCAATGACATCAGTCCATGATTGCTACTTTCGGGCTGGTCGACTCTCCACTTAGTGGTAAGGCTCCAGTGAGGGAATATGGTTGAACAACATCGCAGTATTGATGGCATTGTCATGAACGATTGATATGGGTTGCTAGTGATGGTACAAATCAGCGCACTGATAGCAAGCAATTATTAGTAGACTGATAACCGCCAAACACGTGGATGGTGGATTTAATAATTGCAAACATTCCACCACTAGAATGATTTTATCTTTGATATAGCAATTGCTATAAGCGTGAACGTATTAGCATGAATTGAGGTCATGACCTCCACCTATATGTATAAAAGGTTTATCTTCAATGAAACCTTTGACGAGAAAATCTTACTTTGAAACAACTATGACAATCAATAAATTAAAATAGATAAGCTATTCAGAATTCAGCCAAGGCAACAGCGGTGGCTTGGTAGTCATCGTGAGAGATCGAAACGTTGACCGACTTCACACCAGCCTTAGCAGCAGCCTTGGAAGCTTCGCCAGTCAACTTGACCCGAGGAGCACCGTTTTCGCGGACAATCTCGATGTCCTTCAACGGAGCACCAGCACCCTTCGATTCAACACCAAGAGCCTTGAACACGGCTTCCTTGGCCGACCAAGTGCCAGTGAACGAAGCTTGAGGCGAAGGCGACTTCGAGCAGTAGGCCACCTCTTCATCGGTGAAGTTGCGTTCAATGAAAGTCTCGTTTTCCAAGTTCAACGCCGACAACAATTCAACATCGACACCGACGCCCTTCGACGACTTGTTCAAGCCCGAAAGAGCTTGAGCGGTGGAGTGGGCGTTCTTTTGCACGTAGTTGTCCGCTTGGATGTTCTTGTCGTGGAAAATCAACTTCTTTTCCTTGCATTCAGCCACACGAGCCAAGGGGTCAAGGTACACCGGTTGTTCTTGGGCATCAGTGAAAGGAGCCTTGTCCTTAGCCACGAACATGGTGTTACGGGTGATGGCGTTGTGCATGTAACGGTAGGTCTTACGGTAACGAGCCGACACCTTTTGAGCGTAGTCAGTGTAGGCTTGCTTGTCCAACACGGCGAACAAGTAGTCGGGGTGGACCACCACGGCTTGAGCACCCTTTTGACCGAAACCGAACGAGGTCACCGACACCGCCTTGATACCATCGGTTTGGATCGAACGCGAGGGGTAAAGGACGTATTCGTAGTCTTCCAAGACCTTGTCGACGTTGTCGGCATTACGGTTACCAGGAACGATACCCGATTGCAAGATTTGGATGGCACCGTTCAACATCCACGCACCAGCGGCACCCTTGGGGTGACCAGTGAGGTACTTTTGGAACACACCAAACACAGGGTTACCTTCGGAACGACCCAAGTGCTTCATCATTTGGTTGATGGTGGCCGATTCGTTCTTGTCGTTGGCGACGGTAGAGGTACCGTGGAACGAAGCCACACCAATGTCGTCGACGGTCAAGTTGTAAGTGGCCAAAGCCCCACGCAAGGGAGCGATACGAGGGTCATTCTTCCAGAAGTCGTTACCCCACAACTTTTTAGCATCAGCAACTTGGCGCTTGGTTTCGCGGTTGATTTCCTCAGTGCGTTCTCTGTAGAATTCGTCAGCATCAAATTCGGCACCGTATTGTTCAGCAACAGCAGCGGCTTCGTCGTGCAAGAATTCGATCTCCGAGTCCTTCCAAGTCTTGATTTGAGCAAGACGTTGCTTCAATTGACGGGCACGGTACTTGATGTCAAGAGCCAGGGTACCGTACTTGAGCTTGCCGTGGTGTTCACGAGCAGTGGTCAAAATACCCTTACCGGGAGCAGGCACCGAGCGACCAATCTTGTCGGTAGCGGTAGCCGACATCGCCAACACGGCGTGGATGGGCACACCCATCTGCAACGCCAAAGTAGCAGTCATGATCACTTGGATACCCGAACCTTGAGCTTCCATGAACCCGGCACGAGTAGTGGTGGTGGGACGCGACATTTCTCTGGGAGTACGGCCGTTTTCGAATTCCTTAACGGCGTTGGAAGTGGCGTTCATATTGGCGAATTCGTACGAACCTTCTTCTTGGAAGTCATCGTAACCACCAACGATACACACCTTAGCCTTACCCAGCAAAATGGTTTCGATACCGGTGTCAACAGATTCAACAGCAGTAGCACAAGCACCAACGGGAGTCTTGATGGGACCCGACGACGACAACAACAACATGTTAACCCAAGCAGACATGGTGTTGATGAACGATTCTTGCAAAATGTCGTTTTGCACGGGCTTGTCAGCGAAACGGTCCTTGAACATACCTCTCAACGCCAGGACACCACCGATACCGGAACCCGAACAGTTGCCCACTTCGGAGACGTGGACGTACTTGTAGAATTCGTAGGGATCAGTAATACCGGCCAGCAACAAGGCTTCCACAGTGGAGACCAACACGTACAAGGTGATGGGGTCGACTTGACTGATAGTGTCTTCAGGGATACCGTAGTTACGGGCGTCCCAACCAGTGGGGATTTGACCAGCCACCAACCGGTCGAAACGGAGAGCCTTGGGGATGTACAAAGTAGCGCCCTTAAGGATCTTGACGGTAAATTCACCCAGGTCTTCAATCTCAAAGATTTCACACTTGTCGCCGTGTTGCAACTTGTATTGTTCGGCGGTTTCCTTCGAGGCTTCGAAAGCGTCCAAGTCGTGTTCGATGACGACTTCCTGGATGAATTGTTTCTTCTTGGGGTCGTAGCCGTTGAACAATTCGGGTTCGATAAGACGGATACCCGAGTGGTCCAAGATTTCCTCTTCGTACTTAGCCTTGATTTCGTGATCACCAACAGGGGTCTTGGTCTTAGCATCAACCCAACCACAGTACGGCTTACCCTTCAAGTTACCGTTGTGGTACTTGATCAAACCCATGATCCAGGCCATTTCAATAGCACCTTCCAACGAGAACTCGCCGTTGGCTTCCATTTCCCAACGGGTACGAGCGTTACCCCAAGGACCAACTTCGGAGAAACCAGTGACAACAATCACCGAGTCCAAGTCCAACATACCTTCCAACTCGGGGGCGACCTTCTTCACCTCCTCGTAAGGCTTGAGGGTAGGGAAGTCGAACTTCATGTTAGCCTTAGGTTGCACAGTGACCTTTTGGTAGTTAGCGTCAACGTTGTCACCGTTTACCACCTTTTGTTCGATGGCCAGTTCAATGGACACAGCCCGGCGGATGTCAGCGTCGTCGAGGATGTCGGTTCTCAACTTGGTGGTGAATTCCTTCAAGTTGTCAATGAATTGCAACCCACCGTTCAAGTCGGCCATGATCGGTTCTTCCTGGCACAAGTGGACAATCGAGGGTGTCAACAACCCCAAGATGTTGAACGCCATTTCCTTTTGCGAGAAAGTACGCACACCGACCTTTTCGATACCTTCAGCAATGATGTTGTTGGCCGACATCAAACCGGTACCACGGGTCCAACCAATAACGGCACCGCACACGGTAAGCTTTTGGCCCCAGTCTTCCGAGTACCAACGGTTGAACAAGGTCTCCAACGAGATCTTCGATTCCGAGTACAACCCGTCAAAACCGAAGGTACCATGGTTAGGCGACATCGGCAAGATACATTGAGCGGGACGGGTGTCGGTAGTCTTGTGGGCCTTGACCGAACCAAGCAAACGCAACAAGTTAGTCAACATGATTCTGTGGGCGAATTCCGATCTCGAGTCAATGTTGTCAATACCGTTACCGTTTTCGGGGATGGCGGCGAAGGGAATGATGACGTCCAAGTCCCAGCCGAGACCACCCTTCTTAGGGTCGTTGTAGATGTAGTCCACCAAAGCGTCCACATCCTGCTTCGAACCTTGGTTGAAGGGAACCACCACCAATTGCGAGCCAGTGGCACCGTAACGGGCGTACATGTTTTGGTAGTACTCGGTGACCTTCTTGGAGAATCTTGAGGTAGTGACAATCACCTTAGCCCCACCCAGGATCAAACCTTGGAGGATTTCGGCACCAATCGAACCGGCACCAGCACCGGTCACCAAGACGTACTTGTCCTTGAAAGTCAACCCGTTAACGGCAGCCGATTCCAAACCGTCGAGGTAGGTCAGAGTCAACTTGCGGTCGAATTCCCAGCCCGACTTGAACTTGCGTTGAATGTGCAAGAAGGGGATAGTTTCGGCGGGGATGGTCAGCGACACCGGTTGGAGGATCGAGGTCTTGTCGGGCAACAGCGCAATCTCATCGTCGTCGGAGGCCGTCAGCAATTCGTCTTCTTCAGGGGTCGACAGGCCGGTACGGGCACCAAGCACCAGCTTCGTGGTTTGTTGGGCGTCAAGTTCGGCGTTCAGCTCGACAAACTTGATCAATTGGTCGTACAACTTTTCGAACTCAACCTTGGTCTGGCCGCTAGCTTGCTTGCCGAGAGCCTTGTACACTCTGGCCAAGTCGTCGTGGATAGTCAGCTGGTTAGCCTTGGTCAATTCACCACCTTGAGCCATCTCGTAGACGTATTGCTCAAACTTGCGCACGGCATCCTTGTTGGCTTCTTCGTAGACAACCTTACCCTTCTTGTCGACGGTGGTCTTAGGACCGGTGATGCGGCTGACGTCTTTGTACACGGGGGCTTCGCCGATGGTTTGCTTACAGTTGTCAATCAACTGTTGACCCAACAGCTTGGCGAGAGCGTAGGTTTCCCCCTTGTATTGCGGGCAGTGGTCGATGTGGTATTGCATGAACTTGATCAAGGTCGGGTTCAGACGGTTCATGATTTGGATACACTGTTGGATGGTTTCCCGGTCCACCGAGGTGAGCTTGCCGAAGATGATGTCAAAGTACATCAGCAACACGTCTTGACGAGCCCAGTTCCAGTACGAGTCGTACACTCTAGCCTTCTTTGACGAGAAGGTGGGCTTGATGCCGTTGGCGTAGAATTCGCCGTGTTCGGCTTCCCACAAGTCCAATTCCGCTTGGAGAACAGCCAGCGCCTCCTTTTCCTTAATGAACAGCTTCGCGCCTTGGTTGAGGTCGACTTGCAAGTAACGGGCCAAAGTTTCCAATTGTTGCTTGGCCAAAGTGCGGTTTTCCGATTGAAGAGCGTCGAGAGCAGCCGAGTCGACCACAGCGCCACCAGCACCACCGGCGGCACCACCGGACGAGGCCAGCGACAACGAAACCCCGGCAACGGCGGCGTACTTTTGCGCGAGGGTGTCCAAGAACGCCTTGGCGTCACCTTCCGAGCCGAGACGAGCGGCGGGCTCGTTGGCAAGACCCAACAACAAGGTGGCATCTTGTCTACCTTGGCCAAAACCGTAACGGCCTTCAAGGTACTTTCTCGCCGAGGTGATGGAGAACCCACCGGGCATCTTCAGCGACATCAAACGAGCGATGAGCGACGTCGACGTCTTACCCAATTGACCGGAGAAAGTGTCCTGGAATTGTTCGGCCAATTCTTCAAGGGGAGTGTCTTCAGGCTTTTCCGGAGTCGACCCGAATTCCTTACCGAGGTCACCCAAGATTTCGTTTTGCACCGTCGACTTACCGTTGACCAAGTCCTTAATCGCCTTAGACATGGGGATGGCGTCAAGAGGCTTCTTGAGCTTCTGGGCCACGAGGACGTGGATCAACAACTTAGCGGGGACGGGTTCGTCGGCCATCGCTTCGACGGGACCCAGAGGAGCAGCGGCAGGGGCAGCAGCGGGGGCAGGGGCAGCAGCGGCGGGAGCAGCAGCAGCGGGAGCGGCAGCGGCAGCGGGTTCTTCCTTGGCGGCAGGGGGAGCCACTTCCACGGGGTCAGGGGTATAGTAGATTTCCTTAGCGTCGCTGGAGTAGGCCAACACTTGTCTCTGGAGCGAGCGAGCGGCGTCGTACGACTTCATCTTGGGCATTTCCATCGTCTTTTTGGTCATGTTGGCCAACGTGGGCAGGGGACCGACTTCGATCAATCTTTCGGTCTTGTGTTCGGGCAGGGTCAAGTAGACATCCTGAGTCTCGATCCACCGCACCGCCAGGGCGAACTGGTAGGACAAGAGCTCAATGAGCAACGTGTGGGAAAGCTCCTGCTCGATTTCGGGACGCATGGCAGCAAAATGGGGTGTAGCGGTGATGGCTGGGAGAGACAAGCATATAAACGTTTAGTGGTCTGTAAATGTGGGCCGGGGCTCGCAACTGCGCGTCGGGGTTGTTGGGACCTATCTCGGAGTGAGAATCCCGGCCCCGAGGCCCCCTGTGACAATGAGGATGATGATGACAAACTAAGAACTAGATATCTTAGAGATAAAATGGCGGTGGTTGATCAGTGTTGAAACTGTGAATTTTGCTGTCTTCGTTTGTCTATTTTACACGTGTGGGTCGTCGCTTGTTCGCTGCCGCCACTTTTGTTGGTTGCATCGCCTACCTGCACCTAAGTCTGGGACCAACGATTTCACTGAGGCACACGCCTTTCCGATGGGCCCCGATGTTGAAGCCATGAAACACTATAGAAACAAAAAGTTTTGTACTTGAATGAGCTTTGAAGTATTCAAGAGGAATGTTGTGAGTTGTAACAAGTTGGATCTTAGAAATTGCGTTGAAAATGGCCATATTCGTGGGTGTTGGGTGTGGCACTATCTGGTTTTGAGCCCATGGGCCCTCACTTGTTTAAGCTCAGACAGATTTGTACACCCAACGGACGGGTGCCAACCACGCGCCCTCAATTAAGTTAAGGTAAGGGGGTGAAAAGAAATCCCATCAGGATTAACTATGCAATAAATCGTATATACATTTGGCAATAGCTAAACCAGCTAGCCTGCCTTAGCTTTTATTTTCACTTAGCATCGAGATGGGCCCTTTAAGTATGATGATATGACACTCGGCACTGTGAGTGAGTAGTCGTAGTGAACGCTAGCTACTTGATTGACAGCGAAAGTCAAAGCCCACGTCGTCACTATTTCTTGAAGTGCCATCAGCACCAGAAGCACCACAATTATTGTGCTGTATCTGAACTCAGTGACCAAATGGAGGGCCTCGGTCAAAGTAGCGATGCCGATTAGCTGAGTTACCAGTGTCGGGATGGCAATGGCATCGTACGGCCAAATCAACGAGATGATGGGGAATAGTTTGATTGCCGTCGTCACCAAGATCGCCATGATGAGCACTCTCATGAAATAACACCGTTGATAGGTTTCTCCCACGTATTTGTTGCCATTTGATCCCCATCCAAGCCAAGCGAAAAGACGAGTGATTACTACCACCTGAACCACATGTTGAACCACTGAATTCAACATGAAGTAGCCATATTGAAAAAACAGCAGGTGAGTCAATGCTTCTCGCGTTAACGGCAACGGGTCGCTGGCTCGTTCAGCAGTAGCCCATTGAAGGTACACCTCAAACAACACTGCCATGATATAAACTCGAGCATGAGGTGTATAGCATTGCCACCAGGTTCGCGGCTGGGTCTCAGTGATCAGCTTTTCAATGAGATTAGCCAAGTGTAGTAGTGCTCCCTTCTTCAAAAGTAAGACATCAATGAACAATAACACGTGGTCATACTCAATGTACTTATCAGCGATATTCTGGCATCGTGAACACTGAGTAAGCTTAATGTAAGCAGACTTGTATTGCTGATATAGCTGGGCCACCGGTTCTCGGCATTGGACGCAGTACATGGCGTGGCGCTCACTGTGGTAGTGAAGATCGTGTAGGCTACTGATTGTGAGAACGCGGGCTCGAAATTGTAAACGTGTGAAAGATTAAGTTCTATACATGAAAATCATTAGGCCATTAGTTGGGGAGGGGGTGGAATATCGGGAATCTTGCCCAATGTAAACAGTACTGCCTGGAACTCGGCGATAACTTCAGGAGGTAGATCGCCGGCATCGACGTTATTACCGGTGGGAGCAGTTCTGGCTTGAGTTGATCCTGCTGGCTGTGATGCTCCAAATGAGGTTGACGGTGCCGATTGACCAAAACCAGTTCCGGCCAGTGACTGGCCAAAAGGAGTGGCTTGGGGTTGGCCGAATGATGATGTTGTAGACTGTCCTCCAAACGGAGTGGTCGCAGGTTTTTGGCCAAAGGTTGATGTGTTATTGTTTGTAGCCCCACCGAACGGAGAATTCGATGGCTGACCAAAGCCAGAGTTGGTGGTAGTAGCGTTTGTGCCTCCGAAAGGAGAGTTTCCTGCCGGTTGACTACCAAATGGAGATGCACTTGTGGTAGTGTTATTGGCGGATTTATTGCCAAAACCCGATGATCCGAACGCTCCTCCCAGATTTTGAGCGAATGGGTTAGCCGCAGGCGTCAGCTGGCCAAATGCAGACTTGTTCGCGTTACCAAATGCCCCGCCAGAAGTATTAGTCTGGCCGAAAGCGCTGCCTGTCGAAGACTGTGCTTGACCAAATGGCGATTTCGCAGTAGAATTGCCAAATGCCAGCGTTGTTGAGGAAGCACCACCAAAAGCACCGCCTTGTGATGAACCAAAAGCATTTGACTGAGTACTACTACCAAATGGCAGACTCGTCGAAGAACCGAACGGGTTGGATTTGGCAGCGGTAGCATTAGTAGCGAAAGGGTTAGCCTTTTGCGTGGTAGCGCCAAACGGAGATGATGCCGCTGGGGTAGAGCCAAATGCTGACCCCGATGGTTTGGCTCCAAATGCTCCTCCAGATGTGTTGCTAGCCCCAAATGCTCCCCCCGATGTGTTGTTAGCTCCAAACGCTCCTCCTGAGGTATTAGCTCCGAATGCACTACCTCCGGTGTTTGTCAGACCAAACGCTCCCAGAGAAGTGCTTCCGAAAGCGCTGCCTCCACTCGATTGACCAAAGGCTGAGGTAGTCGCCGGTTTTCCAAAGGCAGAACCAGTATTGGAAGCTCCAAATGCAGAATTCAGTGTTCCCGAATTGCCAAAACCACCACTGCCGAAGGCTCCGCTAGGCTTAGCCGCATTGCCAAAGGCTCCGCTTCCAGAAGTGCCCGAGCCAAACGCTCCCAGCGACCCACTATTGCCGGAGCTACCAAATGCTCCTCCACTCTGGCTGGCCCCGCCAAATCCACTCAGTCCGAATCCACTCAGACCAAAACCACTCTGGCCAAACGCTCCACCCAGCAGGGCCAGGCCGCCGAACGCGCCCCTCCCTGCTCCTCCAGCAGAAGCACCCCCGAAACCGCTGGTTCCAAAGGCCCCACCGCCGGAATTAGATCCGAATCCCAGACTTCCAAACATGTCTGGGGCGTATGTGATGCGGTTAGGGTAGAGCGAGCGAGAGTGCAGAAAATCACAAAATGCCTAGAGGTGCGATATGCACTGCACTCTATAGAAACATACCGGGGACTAAATATGAAATAAGATTAAATCCAATTCGAATTTTTGTATATATAAATAATGATACGTGTGTATGTTGCTTAAGGTTTGAATTACATATGAGCTAAGCTTGTCTCTGAAAATGATACACTGTATATTCTCTTAGATAACTACTGGAATCAGAATTTGGCGTTAGCCTTTCTGCCAACGGTGGACTTGATGTACCCGTTGGGGTCCGACAGAGGGTAAAACAAGTCGTCATTGTTCTCGATGCCCTTCCACGACAAGTCGAACAACACGTAGTGCTTGTTGGGCAAAGCGTACGAGACCTCCTTGATTTCAGGAACCTGTTCCAAGATCAATTGCGACATGTTGTACATGGTAGCTTGCACTGAAGGCGAGTTCTCCAAGGCAAACAATTCCAAGGTGGTGTCGCGAGCGGCATTGTAGGCTTTGTCAAAGAGACCTCTGTCAGCAGCGGCAAACACCGACTCCAAGTTCGGCAACGCCTTAGGGTCAAACTCCCACACGGCGTCAACATCGGTCGACAAGATTCTGTCGGTGGTAGGCTTCAACGTGGTGTAGTCACATTCATGGTAACCGTAAAACATCGAACCCGTCGACTTAAGTACGGTCAAATCTTTGATCCCCGCAGTGAGTTTCAACGCCCCTGACTTCTTGTCGTAGTCCAAGTAGATTCTCTTAGTTTCAGGACCTTCGTGCTTGAAAGAATGGTCATGAACTTTACCGTTGGACAAGGGGTACTTTGACCATCTTTGTTGGACAATAGTCACTTCAACACCCGAAACGTGGTTGTACTTGGTAGTGAAGTGCTTAGCCAAATGAGCAGCAAATCTTTCCAAGGGCCAGACGTCGGTAGTTTTCGCTTCCACAAGAATAGTGTTCTTGACAGTGTCAGTAGGCACTACCGAGGCATTGTCAGCCTTAGTGTAGGATTCTTCAAATTCCCCACGCAACAACACCATGACATTGGCTTCGATCACTTCTTGCTTCTTTTTGTTTTGAGGGTCCTTCTTTACTTTAAGAAACTTCACATTAGCTTTGCCGTAAGAAGACTTCACAAGTTGGACAGGAGACATGTTTGCTGGTATTGAATTGATTGATTTGATGGATTGGATGGCAGCATGGTTCGTCTTTTATAAACTCTCTTCATCGGAAATTTCCATGCTGATAGTGGATCACCAAGTGGTGGTTTGGTGCCATACGCGCAGTGGATTTCTCCGTAGCCAAAATTACATATGGCTACTCAGAATCATGCGATTTCTGCATATCAGACCATACCGGAGTTAAACCGCGAGTTGTAACGGAAATTTCCTCTATTACTATTATGTGATATTATAAACGTAAATTCTCATGCTGCTTAGCCAAATTCGCGGATGATTGATCGGCAAGTTGATTGTAGTAATGGCATACGGGCGGCCAATGTTTGGAATGCCAGCCGGTAGATGTTGATAAACTCCTCTATCACCGTGTCCTTGTTACTAGCGCCATTGCATATACTCTGTAGCAGCTGCTCTAGATAACGACGCAAGTAAGGTTTGGAAAGAGACACTTGGAAGGGCATTTTATCCAAACCATCGATAAGTCCCATCCCCAAGGGCGTTGGTACCAATACTTCAACAGAGCCTGACTTGGTTTTGGTAACATACTCCCGGGCAATAATTTTATCGATATGTTCAGCGATAGTGGCGTCGGTGCCAATACCATTAGCGTCCATCAATGCGATAAGCTCCGTCTCAGTTATGTACTGAGGTTTGGTAGTTTTGCCACTACCCATCCGGGCCAGATGTAGCTGAACTTCTTGGCCTTCAGTAAGCGGCGGCATCTGTCTTGACAGTGTCCACTTGACATAAGGGTATACCTCGAGGAAATTGAGTTGCTCCACAATTACACCCAGGGCCCTGAATAATTCGTTTGTCTCGCCCCACTCAAGGATACACGTCAGTTGCAGACCCACGGCATCTTGGGAAACGCAAGCTAAATATCGTCGCACCACGTATTCGTATACTTTGCTTTCATCGGCAGTCCACTCAGTACCAGCCCGGTGGATATTGGTATAATTGACGGGATGGATAGGAGGATGGGCGTTATCGTCCTTGGATCCAGAGCGAGCCTCCTGTATTCCATCTCGAATGAGTCGCTGAGCGTAGCTTCCCCAAGATGCATCTTGAGTCTGACGACTAACAAGACTGTCATGGTCAAACCCTTTAGGAAACAGATTGGTTTCAGTTCTGGGATAACTCAAGAACCCTTTGTTATATAACTTTTCTGCTGCATCTAACGCCCGCTTTGCCAGCATTTTGAAGTAGCGAGCACAGTCTTTCTGAAGATCGACGGTAGTGAGAGGCATGGGCCGATATTTGTTAATCCGCTTACGCTCTATCAGGCTCACTTTTGCTTTGAGCTTGGCCTGCTGCCATCCTCGCTGGTAGATCAAAAACACAAATAACCGATCAAAAAACCGTCCCCGAGTCCATGCGAAGGGAATCGCTGGTTGGTCGTCCATTTTTAGGGTTACAGTGATATGCCAAAACTCCTCTGGCACAAATTCTCTGACCCGACGGTAGCGATCAACGACAAATCCAAGAGTAGGGAACTGGCACGTCCCGTACAGGACCACAGATCCTTTGTCGATAATGGAGGAACTTTTCAATGACGTCGTCATTTCCCGAGTAAACGCAACCCCCGTACGCAAATCAATCTCTTGTCGCAGTTCCACCGCCTTCACTTGCTTCATATCGAGTGCCGTGGGAGAGTTGGCAGCCTTGAGGATGTGGTTGCGATCCAAGTGGGAAAAGTGGGCCCGCCACACGTTTTGGCCAGCGACATCAAGCCTACGGTTCCGTTTTCGTGCTTCGGTGTAGATTTCATAGCCGATGGCTTCCCCCTCTCGATCACAGTCGGTCCAGATGTAGAGATAGTCGCATCGTTGGGCTTCCTTAGTGATGTTGGCCGCCACTCTACGCTGGGTTTCGTCACGATGAATAACCTCGATGGCACAGTCAAAGAGTTCATTGTTTCGACACCTGCCCCATCCATACTGCAGAGGGAAGTCAGCATCGGCGACGTGGCCGAGCACTGAGGTCATCGTCACTTCGCAGTTACCCCACTGAGTGAAGTTGAACGTGAAGTCATAGTTTTTGATATATTTGACCTGGGAGTCTCGTCTCTGGGAACGTCCTCCTGATAGAATCGAGGCCACCTCTCGGGCTATCAGTGGTTTCTCAGCCACACAGAGGATCCTCATCTGAGGATGGTGGTGCAGCGCAGACGCGTACGCGTTTCCAGACCGCCACCACTAAAATGCTACACGGAATTCAGGACTTGTCACAAAATTAAATCCTGACTAACGCCGCACTCAAAGACGTTGTTTATTATCCTCAAAATTTGTGGCACACCGAAAGCATGCATTCTACCCATCAACTGTACCACCACCGACCTAGTTCTCACACACCTCATCGTGTAAGCTTAAATAAAACGAGGAAAATGATGCTAAAACGTCCGACGGGTGTCTACAGGCTTTTATAGTCTGCAACTAATCAAAATGATGATCAGACAGTTTTCTAGTGGTCGATAGAACATGATTGATCACGTGATCATCGGATGGTTTTCGAAGATTTCAATTCACTGTCGTGGCAGCGACGAGTATGCCAAAGTAACACTATCATGGTCAATTGACGGTGAAGGCGAATTCACAAGAAATTACTTTATGAATGTTTCACAAAGCTTGGTCTCTGGCGAATGTTGGGGACATCACCTCGACGCAGTTTTGTCATCACTGCAGGTAAATGCTACTGACGCTTGCTCGCTTAAAAACCCTATCTACCCGATATACCCCACCTTCCGTGAGTTAAAAATGAAGTTCGAGAGGGGTGAATTCTATTCTGGAAAAGTAACCAATCAAATCAATGCATTTAGTTTAGTTACGTATCGTTATCGGCGTATATTTAGCCAAGACTATGTGAGTGCCCCCTTTAGTGCTTTCAGTTTCCCCGGAAAATCTTCATTCCGAGCATTGCAACGTAGTACTTTAGTGTGGCTTTTTTATCGCGGAACCGCAACCATCACCTCCCCCCAACCCCCCCTTTTAATCTAAAAAATTAGTAAACGACAACGGCCGCACTATCGTTTATAATCGATTCAACCAATTGACTTCAGTACCATCAGAAATGCTCCCAGTTCGCCTACTCGCCCCAACGTCATTTCGCATAACCCCCGTAACTTTGCGAAATTTGCGGCGGTGTATAAATGATCCGCGATCACTTGGATCATCCTTCAGTTATCCTATTCCAACCATGTCCATCAAGCTCAATTCGGGTCACGAAATGCCCCAAGTGGGGTTCGGTTGCTGGAAGCTCGACAAGCAAAACGCTGCCGACCAAGTGTACAACGCCATCAAGGTGGGATACCGTTTGTTTGACGGCGCCGAAGACTACGGCAACGAGAAAGAAGTTGGCGAAGGTATCCGCCGCGCCATCGACGAAGGTCTTGCCTCGAGAGACGAGATCTTCGTCACTTCTAAGCTCTGGAACAATTACCACGCCCCGGAAAACGTTGAGAAGGCGTTGGACAGAACCTTGTCGGACTTGGGCTTGGACTACGTTGACTTGTTCTTGATCCACTTCCCCATTGCCTTCAAATTCGTGCCCTTGGAAGAAAAGTACCCTCCTGGCTTTTACTGTGGCGATGGTAACAAGTTCGCTTACGAAAACGTGCCTCTTGCCGAAACCTGGAAGGCTTTGGAAGCCTTGGTCGCTAAGGGTAAGATCAAGTCGATTGGTGTTTCCAACTTCTCTGCGGCTTACATCTTGGACTTGTTGAGAGGGGCCAAGATCCCTCCTGCCGTGCTTCAAATTGAACACCACCCTTATTTGCAACAACCCCGTCTCATTGAGTACGTGCAATCGCAAAACATTGCCGTCACTGCCTACTCGTCGTTTGGTCCTCAATCCTTCTTGGAGCTTAAGCACAAGCGGGCTTTGGAAACTCCCACCTTGTTCGACCACGAAAAGATTAAGAGCATCGCCGACGCTCACAAGAAGACTCCTGCTCAAGTGTTGTTGAGATGGGCCACTCAAAGAGGGCTCGCCGTCATCCCCAAGTCGAACAACCCCGACAGATTGGCGCAAAATTTGTCGGTGAACGACTTCGACCTCAGCGATGCCGAACTCAAGGAAATCGCCAAGTTGGACATCGGCCTCAGATTCAACGACCCCTGGGACTGGGACAAGATCCCCATCTTCTACTAGGTCTTCGTTGATATTTAGACAATTAGATTACAAACAAAAAAGAAGTATTCTGAAATTTCATTTACACCAGTCGATCACCAAATTCCTCCATACTGAACCTATTATTGTCTTGATATTCAACCTCTGATTAAAGTTGATTATTGTTTGTATCACACGTTACTTGTGTTGTATAGACAACCACCCATTGTCTTTGTCCGCGCTCGCGCACGATCCTTCGCCGTACCCCACCATGTCGATATATCGATGCCACCAATGGGACGAGGGCATCGAACAACAATTCCTAGGGGTTTCTCCAGTGTGGGACGAGGTCCTGCTCTATCAAACCAAGCATCCCGATGCGGCTACTGAAACCAATGACATTTTCAAAGTCGCCCACCGCCTGGGATTCGATCACATCCTGTGCTTGGACTACTCGAGGGAATATAACGGCATTGTTGGCGTTGGATGTAACGGAGAAAATACCGTGGCTGTGTTTGATATCAAGTCCGAATCTAGTTCGGTGCTTAAGATCCAGGCGAAGCAGCTGAGGTCCATCAACTCGATCTCATTTCGCCACAACTTACTCGCCATCGGCTTTGAGAAGGGCCGCCTGGATAACTCTTTACAAATATGGAACGTTGAACATTATTCCCGAACCTCCAATAACGATCACATCAACACCCCGCTCCAAGGGTGCTTACTGCTGGAAACAGTCACCTCAGTCACTTGGGTCGACGAACAGAATTTGTTAGTTGCATCTCCCAAACACATACGCGGGATTGATACCAGAACAAGTGAACCACACCCCACGTGGCAAATCAATCTGAAGCTAGCTTTTGGCGTTACGTGCGATCCATTCGACAATCATTACTTTGGTAGTTTTAGTGAGGACGGGACGGTAGCGATTTGGGATCAGCGTAAAATTCTGAATGCCACCGGTCTGAAGAAAAACGTTGATCCACTCTTGACGTTCCCACGTTTAGTGCCCGAGTGGAACCCTCGCAAAAACCAAGGACCTTGCTTCAGATTCTCGCTGGTGAGAAGGGGCGAATTCGCTACTGTCTACTCCGGTGACACTATAAGAAGATGGAATTACATGCATGTGCCTCCTGTACCTCCACACGCACCCGATTCCGATGATGCTGAAAAGCTTACATCAGATACTCCCGAACTCAACAATTTGAAGAATCAGTGTCTGCAAGTATTCAAGCCTAGTGAAGAGCTGTTGATCGTATCAATTGTATTGGACGTCAAGACTGACTACGAAAGAGTGGTATCATTCGACTACTCGCCGGATTTGACTTGTGCTACCTCAACAAACTTCGTGTGCATGAGACAATCAGGGCTGGTGTTCCGAATGCCTGCGGTAGAGTGTGTTGAGGAGTTCAATTTCAACCCCTACAATGAGCTTAGTTATTGCGGACCTGAGGGAACGCATACATTGTTTTTACCGTCGAGTGATTCGATGCCTTCGAAAAGTCGTCGTGGAATTAATCATGCCGAACGTCGTATCGATTTGGCACTCAACGATGACCTCAAGAAGTACACCAATCTGTCCGATGGTCCAAATGGGGGTGATGATGAAGAATCATTTGAGGACTATGAAGAGGAATCCGATGATGACCTCGACAATGCCCGATTCCCAAAACGTCACGAATCTGCAGCCCTCAATCTTGACCCCCAACTGGTCATGTATAATGATATCTGTAATGTGATTCGTCGCAGAGCACTCATGGGCTATGGTCTCCATGATTGTTCCAACAATATCAAAATCCTCGAAGACATCGATATCATCGACGGCCAAATGCTGATTCGAAACGTTTGGAAGTGGCTTGACTTGGCTAAGAGGTCTCTCGATAAAGGTTCTATGATCAGCGAGGGTGTCGATCTCGGATTTCAAGGGGTGTTAGGTATTTGGAACGGGCCAAGTTTCATGCAAGATGAAATACGAACAAGCAGAGACAGTGGCCCATTGACAATGGAAATGTTCAAAAACGCAGTTCAGCTGATTGTTAAACAGAAAGGTACAAAAACGGCAAATATTCTGATACCCAAGAACTCTCAAAAGAAAGCGGAACGTATGCTTTGTTTGGTGGTATCGGGGTGGTACTTGGCTAATCTGGAATTTGAAGAAAAGCTTGACATTTTGATCAATCTAGGCTTCACTACAAAAGCTGCAGGATGGGCTGTTTTCCATGGTGATGTCAATAAAGCTATTGAGATTCTCTCTCGAGCCAAAAATGAGCGACTCCGTATCATTGCGACAGCCATTGCTGGGTATCTTGCATACAGCGATTCCAAGGTGAATCTGCCGTGGAAAGACCAGTGCCGTCGCATGGCACTGGAACTTGATGATCCGTATCTCCGGGCTATTTTCGCTTACATTGCTGACAATGACTGGTGGGACGTTTTGGATGAGCACCTGCTTCCCCTTCGTGAACGCCTAGGAGTAGCTCTCTCATTCCTCGGTGACAAGGATTTGGATGTTTACTTGAATCGAGTGGCGGACACTGTGATGAAACGAGGTGAACTTGAAGGTCTCATTTTGACTGGTGTCACCCCCAAGGGCATTGATTTGTTACAAAGTTACGTGGATCGCACAAAGGATGTCCAAACGGCAGCACTCATTTCTGCGTTTGCATGTCCAAGATACTTCATAAGTGAGAGAGTAAAGCATTGGATGGACAGTTATCGAACATTACTTAACAGTTGGCAATTATTCCTGGTCCGGGCGAAACTTGATGTCTTGAGAACAAAGCTCTCTAAAAATTACAACGGGCATCCAACTCTCAAGGCCAACCCTAAGCAGGTCCATTTACAGTGTTTGCGATGCAACAAAAACTTCAACAAACCTGTGGGTCAATTGGCTGCTGGATCAGCCAACGGCAATCTGAGTGGGCTGAGTGGTGCAGGGGCATCGCTAATCAAACAATTCAACAAGCTTCAAATGAAAACCCTGGAGAGCCCCACTATCGCCAATTGTGTGCATTGCGGTGCTCCATTCCCTCGATGCTCTGTATGTTTGCTTACATTAGGAACGCCCATACCTGACCAACCAGTTGAAGCCAACAAAAACGCTACAAAATTTAACGACTGGTTCTCATTTTGCTTACTGTGCAACCATGGTTGTCATGCACACCATGCTGAAGAATGGTTCCGTAAACATTACGTTTGTCCCGTGCCGCTGTGTAATTGTCGCTGTAATAGTAAGTAAGTGGTAATTTAGTTTAAGTGGCGCAGTTCAATCAACACAAATCAACTTTCTCGGAAATTCTAATATTTTTGCAAAATTTTGAGCATATCAATCAACCATCTCTATTGTGAAAAGTTCGAATCTTGATCATAATAAATATTTTATGCGAAATTAAATTCTATAAGAACTAAATATCTAACAAAGTGGTGTCCAAATGTTTGATTAAGGGACGGTATTTCTCTGCGACACAATCCTTTGGCAATAAGCCGAAACTTTGCCCATCACCAATAATTAATGCGAGTTTTTGTTGAGAGTACTTGAGATAGTCGAAATCATCGTCTTCCTCCTCGATGGCACATTCATCAAATGCTGCCAGTAGTTCATCAGTAGTGGAAAAATTATAGGTAGTGTTGATCCCTGTAGTAGACGAAGAATGACCGTTGCTTACACTCTTAGGGGGCCCGCCCTGAATGAGTCCCCAGAGAAACCAGTATATTTGCACCGAGCTTCGCCAATAGACACACTCATTGTAGAGTTTTTGCACTTCATACTGTATGAGTTCAGCAGCAACTTCGTGGCTATCCTCATGGCTTGCTACACTAGTTTGCGGCTTCGTGGCAGTCTTGAAAGATGAGGTGGGATATTTGAACTCATATTCAATGTACAGCTTGATGAAGTTAAACTGATCTACTTGTGTAGGGTAGTTTTCTTCAAAAATCCAATATGGTTTGCTTTCGTTGTAGTAGTCCAGCATCCATTCCAGGAAAAAGTTGACAATGTCGAATGCCGGAAAGTTAGGTCCCAGGTACTCAAAGTCAATTACCGCAAGGTTGGAGTCATACTTGGGTTCAGTGGTGACCACCGTAGCTTCATCAGCAATAGGGGCAACGTCCTTGAGGTTGAAGTCCTTTTGCAATAAGAGATTACCGTATTGGGTATCGTTATGGCAAAATTTAATGTCAGACTTAATCTTAGAGCCATTGTAATTTTTGAAGAGCCAGTTTTGAACATTCCCCACTAATTTCCGGAACTCAGCAAAGCTCATACCCATAAATGTATCAATGATGGCCGGATTGTCCTCACCGTAAAGTGGAAGGAATTCGTTTTCGAAAACATCCATCCATTTATGGATCTGCTTCCAGCACACGGGAACAACTTGATCTGTTTTTTTGTCCACCGGGTAGTCAGACTCACTAAGATCAAACTTGTAATGCAAGTCCTTCATTCTACGAGCCAACATTTGTGAGATGACATGATCACGGATGAGTTCCTTATTAAGCGGTTCGAATCCCTCAAGAAACTGTTCAAAGCGACCATTCGTGAAGATACCCAAAAGTCGAGGCCCAATGTTCTTTTGCAGAAGCTTCATAAGTACCCGGAGCTCGCCATCACGATCGATAAGAGACTCGACGTTCTTGCCATACACCCGCAATAACAACGATGGAACCTTCACAGATGAATCGTTGTACAGGATTTTGTAGATAGAATTGGTTAAAGCGCCACTCAATCGATTCAACACAAGATTATCAAGAGTCAAGTTCTTTTTCCACCATTTAGGGATTCGGAGGGTTTTGATGAGACCGAGAACGTCCTGCTTGAGGAAGTCGGTGGGAAGAGAATTGTCAAGCACTGCTGCGACCAGCGGCACCAGGGTATTCGGATCCAATTGCGTTTGCGAGACCGTGAGCTTGGAGATGCTTGAACTGGAAAGCGAGCGCCGATTCATCAGCGGGCGCCGAGACGATGACCGCAGCAGGTTCCGCAGACGACTCCGAGACCGACTCCGATGGGGGACAACATCCATAGTGACGGTTTAGTGGTTATCAGGAAAAAACAGCAACTCGCCGAAAAAATGCTTGGGTATATGCTCGTGCGAACGCTAAATTTGGGGGAGTGGCTGATCAAAAGTGGGGGAACGCGGCGATCTCAGCTGAGACTCGGGGAATCAGTTTACGCTCAGTCACTAGGAGTTTCGTCTCGATCAGGCGATCTCAGGCGATATCAAACTACAAATCTTAGTTTCCCATACAAAGAGAGGTACATATCCTTGCATATCATGGAAAGTTCCAGTCGCCCGAAGACCAACGTCATTATGAATGACGATGTCGTATAAATGCAGTACCGAAAATGAGTTGTGGCAAAGCTAAGGGCTCGATTATCAGGGGGAATGATGAGCATCGGACGTGATGGATGAATAATCGCCAGCCGCACCAACCGTTGACATCAATGATCGAGCCGTATCGTAAATCTTTTGAGAGCGTGACTACCGGATTGAGCATTTCAGAGTGTAGCCCAGCAATGGGACTCAAACACATGTCGTAGACATTGTTTTTTGGGATTGTATCCACTTCACTTTAGAACAATTCTAGTGGAACATTTTCTTCGTTCTTCGTTGAATCAGACGCGACAGGATTTTTCCTGTCGCGCATGCACGCCAAGTGAGTGACATTTCATCACAACATTGATTACGCTTCACTTCCAAAGCCGTTGATCGCACCAGCGAACACTATGGAGCGAACGCAGGAACTTCAACTTCTTGGTGACGCGCTTGGCTTCACCCCGAAATACTTTGTCGACATTATCAACAATGCTGTTAACGAGATTGCAGTGGGGTGTGTCAACTCGCTCGAGAAGTTTCTTGAACGCCAGCGAAGCCAGTTCGGCGAGCAGATATTCCCCAAACATGAGATTGAGTCGGGGACCAGCCAGTTTCAGCTGTTGCTTAATCTGACCATAGATAAGTATATGGATCTTTTCGAAGTGTACATGGACCGCAATATATTTCTGGTGCCAGAGGAGCTACAGCATCACATCGATTGGGCCCAGCTTACAGGCACCAAAACAGTGCCAAATGTTGAGGCCGTTCGCGCAGACACTGACAATCAAATGAGGCAGGTCCTCAACGATATCCGGCGCGAGCTAACCATACGTCGACTTCGTAAGCAGCAGTTGGCAGTGGCAATGCATCTACGAAATCTGGTGAAAGAGTTTATCGGAGCCATCACTGAATGTCTCGCTAACGAACCATCTCCAGAAAGACTTAACCAGACAATTGCCGAGGTGAAGACCACCATAAACGAGCTATATTCCAAGACGGCAGAGTTTCAGGCGCTCGCTGAAGACCCCCTCTCAGCTCAAGCCCCCGCAGTTGAGATCAGCGATCGGCTTGCGCATCTCACTCGTCAATTAGTTGCTTCTGACTAATTGCAAGCTTGCACCGAGTGTGGAGAGACAGTCTACAACTCCTAGAGTTGAAACTATAATTAAATGCATTGTTGTCGAGCTGGTATCGGCAGACCACTACTCTACCATGATTCTCTGTTTCGAGATAAGTAATAAGACTAGAGATACGGTATAAAATAGTGTTATCACTAATGACCATATAAAATGGGAACTGAATGTGGTAGACCCACATGTATATTTATTCACGCTTGAAACGTTTGTGGAAGGCGCAGAACGGAAACCACCCACACGACTTTTTTCGCTTACCGTCTAGCCGGGTGGTTAGGGTACCCCGGCCTTTCCATCAGAGAAATCAAGGATGGCTACTGAGAACTATAGCTGCCCGCCAGCCCGCCCCGTTATTTTCTACGATAGTTCTGGTGATTGTAGATGTTTGCCACTCATAATATAACTGATAGCAAACCACCGGCGTCGCTTGCCTGCATCGTCCGGAGTCGGTGATCTCATATTTTTTCCACCCGGCATCGTCTAACTTTACATTCTCATCCATCCGCCACGGCAACCTTGGACTAATCCACCAACGTTGAAATGGCTATGTTTTACGCATTGAATGGTTTGGGGTACCTTGTGCTTACTGCACTTGCGGTTCACTCCTTCGGCAAGCAGCTGGATCTTGAGAAGCGGGAGAAAGAGCTTGTGGAGAAGATCGACAAGCTTGAAATCGAGCTCACGTCGAAGCTGAACCAGTTGGAGGAGTTGACCCAACAACAAGATGACCTCAAGAAGTCGCTGGACTCGGAATTGCAGGCGAAGATTCTCGCTCATCAACAGGAGATCGAGCAGTTGAGAAGATCAAAGGAGGAGGCGGAAACCGCTGCACTCAAGACTGCCGAACTCAAGCAAAGCTTGGAAAAGGACTTGGCCAAAGCCAATGACTTGATCGAACAATTGAAGCGTGACGCCGAGGTCGCCCGTGCCGCCACTAACGCCATGGAAGAAGATCTCAAAAACCAACTTTCGGCTCAATTGGAAAAGGTTGCTGCCGAGAAGGATGCCCAGTTCACTGCTAAGAGCAATGAATTGAAGGAATGGCAAAACAAGCATACTCTGTTGGAGCAAATTGTTGCCACCTTGCAAAACGAGTTATCGACTAAGGAAGCCGCTCACAATGACGTCCTGCTGCAATTGAAGGATGTTCAAACTAAGCACCAGCTGTCGGTTGAACAAGCGGAAAAGCTGGATGCTTTGGTGAAGAAGTTACAATCGCAATTGAAGGGCAACGAGGGCGAGGTTACCGAGTTGAAGCTGAAGTTGACTGCGGCTGAGTCTGAAGCTGCGGAGGTGAAGAGTGAGTTGGAAACTACGAAGGCGCAAGTGGCCGATGTTACTAAGGACCTTGAGCTGGCTCGTGAACAGAACAAGGCTGACGTGGCTAAGGTGAAGGACCAATTGAATGAAACTACTGCTCAATTGGAACAAACTAAGCTGGAATTAGCCGATGCGAAGCTGGCTGCGGAAAAGGCTCAGCAAGAGGTGACTGAAGCCGAGAAGCAAGCTGAACAAGCCAAACAAGAAGCCGAACAAGCTAAGCAAGAAGCCGAACAAGCTAAGCAAGAAGCCGAACAAGCCAAGCTGGCTGCGGACGAAGCTAAGCTGGCCGTGGACGAAGCTAAGCAAGATGTCGAACAAGCCAAGCAGCAATTGAAGGAGGCTCAGGAACAAGTGCAAAAGGTCACTGAAGACAACGATCTGCTCAAGTCTCAATTGCTGTCTGTCCAAGAAGAGCTTGCCACCGCCCAAAAGAATGCATCGGAGGTTCACACTAAAGCTCTTGAAGAAGCTAAACTGAAGCACTCCAAGGAGCTCGAAGAAGCTAAGCAACAGCACTCCAAGGTTCTCGATGATACCAAGCAACAGCACTCCAAGGAACTTGAAGAAACCAAACAACAACACTCCAAGGAACTCGAAGAAACCAAGCAAGCCCATGCTGACGAACTTGAGTCTGCTAAGGCCAGCCATGCCAAGGATCTCGAAGCGACCCACGCCAACAAACTCCAGGAAGTGAAGGATGCTCACGCCAAGGAACTCGCCCAGGTGAAGTCGGAGCACGCTCAACAAATTGACGACCTCAAGTCACAATATAAGGATGCTGAGGAGCACACCAAGACGATCGAAAAGCAGGCTAAGGAACTCGAAACCGCCAAGAAGCTAGCTGAAGACTACGAGAAGCAGACTGAAGACCTTAAGAAGCAGGTTAAGGACCTTGAGGTGAAGGCGGACGAAGCCAAGGGGGCTAACAAGGAGCTCTCCGATACGAAAAATAAGCTCAAGGAGACTAACGATGAACTCGAGAACACCAAGAGCCAGGCTAAGGAACTTGAAAATATCAAGGGGGAACAATTGAAGGAGCTTGACGAACTCAAGAAGCAAGTTAAGACACTTGAAGACACGAAGAAGGAGCTTGATGCGGCTAAGAAGGAGCTTGAGGAACACAAGCAAAAGGCTGAAGACCACAAAAAGTCAGACAAAGATACGGTTGCCCAGTTAACCAAGCAAGTTTCGGATTTGACGGCGAAAAACACTGCTGACGCCAAAACCATTTCCGACTTGCAAGCTCGGGCCGAGACTGCCGAGTCGAAGGCCAGCGACGACGCCAAGAAGTTGAAGGAGTTGGAGGCTGCCCAGGAGAACGTGGCCTCGTTGAAGAAACAAATCGACGACGCCGCTGCCGAAAATACGAAGCTCCAGAAGCAAGTGGCCGAGGCGACGCTGGCCGCCGACGACGTGGCGAAGTTAGAGGCGGAGGTGGCGTCGTTGAAATCGCAACTCGCTGCTCAGACAGAAGCTGCCAACCAGCGTCTGGCCGCGGTGCAAGATCCTTCAGCCATGGGCGCAAAACCCGAAGAGGAAAAACAGCAACTTAACGAGGAGTATGAGCAAAAGTTAGACGAAAAAGAGCGCGAAAATGAGCAATTAGTCAATGATATCGCCGAGTTGACGGCGCGGGTGGAAAAGGCGGAACAAGAGAGACAACGGTTCAAGGACTTGAACGACGGGTTACTTTTGAAGTTGAAAGAAAAGAAATCCTCTAGCGCCTAACCCCAGCAAGCTACATAGTCGTAAATCGAACAAATTTTACTCACCCTGCAGCAGCACATTCTCGGCTCATTTCAGGCACACTGTGGCCCGCTACGTCATTTGACGCCCGCAGGCGAAACTCAACCTTCTCCGCTGCACTCGCCCTCCCCTACATTCACCGCCAACCTCGCTTTCAACGCCACAACCCTCGGTTGCTTGCTCTTCGCTTCCAGCGGCCAATAAGTACCACACCTTCCCGGCATTTCTCTAAGCTTTCGTATCCACCGTCGCTGAACTCCAAGTGCGTGATTACTTTCACCTTCCGCACGGATTATTTGTTTTCCAAACAAATCACTGACCCAGCCTCTTTCTAAAAAAAAAAACCTCGTTGCATGCCGTCCTGCATGTACTGATATCAACCGGCTACCAAGCTTTAATTGACACTTCCTTTGATTATCGTCTGTCTGGCTGCCCGACGCTGAAAACCTGCCGAGGAAAACTCTGATGAAACGGAGGAGCTCCAGGTTGTTCGTACCAGCGATGTTGGCACCAGTGTCAGAACAGCACGTTGCCTCCGCCGGCGCCCCCAGCCCACCATCGACACGGCCACTTGAATCCCGAGACCCCGAGATTCTGCCGTTGCCCCTGCCCCAGATGGACCACATTATCAAGCTGACGCTTAAGCAGTTCAAAAAGCTCGAGCTCCAGTTGAACAAATTCAATCTGAAGAAGTTGAACACCCAGCTGGGATGCCACCTCAAAGGCAACATTTTGCGGACGCTGTTGCTCCCACTTTTACGTCATCATAAGGATTTGGGTAGACACTTTACTAATCTGCCTACTATGTATAAGCTGTTGGTCAGCGTCATCGTCGCCGTGCTCATCAAATGGTGGAAGCTGCTTATCGCAAATCTCATGATTGAAATACTGAAAAAAGGATACGGAGCCGGGCTCCATCCGATACCTGCCAGCGATCGTAACGCCTACCTTGAGCTGATTTCTCGCATGATGGCTCTCCCATACTGGGATGTGGTCGATGCTGACTTTTACGAGAACTTCAAGACCCACTTGACGACAACTTTACATTGGTCGATTACAAAACTTAGCACGATCAAAACTGTGACGGTGTCGATGGCGGCGTTTGTGGGTAAAGTTTTTGCCCACCTGTTTATTCATTTGCCACAGGTGCTGAATGCCCTCTTGTTCTTATTGAATGTCAAGCAAGAGTCGTTTGAAAAGGCGAGACTGCTATTAGACGCCAATAAATGCAGTGCCGATGCCATGGTGTGCTTTCCTCAACACCTTGCTTACCTCAGCGACTTCCGTGGCGTGCCTGTCACCAGCCACCCTATACACCGACAGGCTCAATGCATCAACTGCGTACCGCCTCCAAAGCAGGCGGTGCGGGGTATCAAAGACCCCCAAGGTAATTGGGTTCGTCGGTGGGCAAGTTCAGACCTGCTGGTGTTTGTGCTGTTCTTTCGACATTATATGACTATCGTTGACCACAGGCTCCGCGTGCGGGGCGTTGACGCCACCAAGACGCTGATATTGAGCAACTGTCCTGGGTTCACCGTGCTTTATGCCCATATTGTGCACACCATCAACATGCTGATTACCAATATCGCCGTGAGGGCGCACCTCCGGCCCAAGCAACAAAATCCCAACGCTACCATGACATTACCACAATTCTCTATCAACCCTCTGGATGTTTATTATAGCCTGGTTATCAAGTTGTTTCGGATGATTCGAGATATAACATATTGCCTGGTAATGTTCCCCTCAACCGAGGTAGCCGATCTGGCGGCGCTGGCGACGCTGAGCACGTTACCGGTCGGGGTGTCAGGGGCACTGGGAGTTGCTGAGCTGTTGGTGCGGTTTGTTGACCGAGCCCTTGCCGACTTTGCCGCCCTGGTGAGTGTTCACAACCAACTCAAGCTGACGGTGGTGCTTAACATTACCTACGAATTCATCAACCAAATTGTCAACAATATTCCTATGCTGGCAGCGTTAATAGACTGGGAATTCTGGCTTGCATGCACCTACCAAATGCTTGACAAAACTGATCAAATTCAAACCTTACTCAAAACATTCTCGTTTTTGTTTAACGTGTGGCCGCAAATCCCAGACGCCTTGACACGAGGTAGTCCTTCTGGGCCTCATTTCGCTTGGTTAATCGATTTGAACGAGCTGTACAAGCTTAACTTTGTCAACTGGCTTTTGAGCAATCGAGTATTCGTTCGGTTCATGACCCATTGGCTGCTGGCGGTACGCATTTTTTATATGCGTTTGCTTGTGTGGCGGGTGATTGGCGTCAACAACAGTCAGCTGCTGCCGCAAATCTTGACCACCAAACGGCTTCAAGACAAAATCAATAAACTGTACAACGTTGTGCATGACTTTGCTGTGCTTCATGGCCATCGTGGGCTCAACTTCTGTGCTGACCATCCATTAGTCAACCGCAAATTTGGAATTTTGCCCATGAATGCTAAGGATGACTATTTGCTCGACGACCTTGTTGGTGGAGGGGTCGGCGGTTTGACCACAGTACCCAAAGTCTCGTCTGTCCCCTCGCCCGCGCTTCTGACCCCGATCAAACCGCTCCTGGAGCTTCGCAAAAGCCATCCTTACGAAGTATTCGACGAGGCTATCTACACATGTCTGCTGTTGCCGCTGTCGCTGACAAATTCATCAGATGAGCTGATTGATGCCAAGCCCAAAGGTCTCGTTACTCTGTTGGGGCGCTGGTTCAAATTCATGCTGAATGACAGCCGCAGTCAATCGCTTGTCGGGCTTGATCAAATTGAGAATGAGGTGAAACTTACTAAGCGGAACTCAGTGCTGTTGACGTCGCTCTCTACTGCGTACTCCCTGATCAAACTGAGAAGCTCTCTGCCTCTGATCATGCTGTTTGGGTCTCAACATACCAACTTCACTGAGCTGCCGACGCTGTCGATGGATAGCGATGACGAAAGCATCACCACATTGGAAATCAAAGCTGGTGGAAGTCGCAAACAGAGTCCGCGTGCTGAACTGCAACCAGCAGAATTTTCTCGCATGCCTCCAGACATTGTTAGACCCATCTACAAATTTGACATTGTCATGGACACCGAGCTGATGGGCCAAAAATGTCGGTTGATCAACGAGTGCAATCACAGCCAGTGTAAGTTTGCTGGCCACCTCCTCGTACCCCAAGGAATCGAGAACTTCCCTCGTTGTCCCAAGATTCCTTTGATCCTGATTTACTTCACTCTGGAAACGACAAGGTTTTATTTGAGAGATGAGGGGGATGTCGATATTGACAACTTTATTGATGCTGACGCTGTGCTGAACCGTGATGCCGTCACTTTACTCGCCGAATACTCTCGCTATTACAAAGGATCAACCGTGTCTCTTGGCAGCCGGGATCCTCATATAGTTCGCCTAGTGAATTTGGGCAAGTCTCTCAATGAGCTCAACCATATCATTGATGAGTTCAAGCTGTTTTTGAATACTCGGGTTGAAATTGATCAATTTAATGATGAGGTCACGACCGAGTTCAACGAGAAGAACTACTTTTCAAAAATCATTCCCTATTTACCCATTGATAGCTCCAATGAGCTTAAATTGCTTAACGCCAACTAAATCCTTCACAGGTTTATATTTTTTATTAAATGACTTTGCATTAGTGAACTTTGTAAATCTTGTAATTGTAAAGGGGTTTAAAAAATGAATCGATTCACTCAGAGTTCGTCGAGTAGTATGAATGAGTTTGAGGGAAAAACTAATATAAGTCATCTTCCTCTTTCACTACTTCCATGTCCAAAGGCATATTGTCCTTCATCTTAAAGTCGTACTCACTCTCTTCCACATTCAGAGTACCCAAAACTAAAAGGGCTGTGGTGACTGCGATCAGCGAATTAATACCCCAACAAGCAAGAATGCCTATGAGGCCAAAGAAAATGTAGTGTCTGCGCAAGTAGTAGCGGAAACCAGTGAATTTGATTTGGAAATCCAAGTATGAGTTTTCATTGTTGATGAGAAGGCCGGGAGTGGGCTCAACCTGAATGGTGAATTTGTCTAGAGGATTGGCCAATATGTGACCCGGCATGTGGAACTTGTCCAAAAGGATATCCACATCACGATTGATGTCGACGACCACGGGAGGTACCCAAAAACGGAGGTTAAAAGGCACAAATCGATTTTTAGTTGAATGAATGGACCTGGCGTCACAATCGAGAATGAAAGTGTCCTCATAATACACCTCTTCCAGCTGATACACCAGCCAGTCCAATTGGACCACGCGTCCCTGTAAAGAGTCCCCACACACAACATTCAAATGGATCTGCCATTTATAGCTTAAAAGCGGATCAAACTTAAAGATGTGACCGGGGACTTTGGTTGCGGTAACATCGACGGCCATCGAGTTTGACTTGTGGAATCGAAGAGGGATTCGAGGAGAGCTCTTAGGAATAAGTCCTCGATAAAACTCATGGTACCCAATCACGGAAAACGGGAGCAACACAAGGAACACAGCTGCCAAAAGGGTGGCTATGTATAGTCCACGCCGGGTTATCCCCAAGGGAATGGCGAGGTTCATGCCAAACATACTTGGCAATCACGGGCGAGATGTGGGGGGCACCGTACTTAGTTGTTGTGTGCACATGATAAGAGTCGTACTAAGTGCAGGGTATGCTTGCAGAGAGGGGAATGTTTAGTGAGTATTCCTCACAGAAAATAGACATTACAGACTATTTAGGGAGGTACTAGACATACTTAGTAAATACAGCCGTTATAAGCCTTGGGAATCTAACTCCTTTAAAAAACTGTCATTAACGATATTTGGCATTAGTCTCTCTCTCGCAAGGGTCTGACCGACGATATGGATTATGAAAGCTGGCACTTTCTTTTCCGTCGGTTCAGATTATCCAATGCATTATTCCAAGGTACACCTGCACCCATATAAAAATCTATAGTGTGTCCGTAACTAAGCCTAATGTGTGGTGTGCCCGCGGTGATACTTGAGCCCGTTCAAGTTTTTATAGCGCTTGCCACATACCTCGCATCGGTAAGGCTTGTCCTTTTCCATACCTGCACCGTCCAAGTACGGGGTGTTCGACTCGGGGTCGATAATAGAGATGGTACCATCGGGGTTCTCTTTAAGTGTCTGTCCCTGGTGGCCGTGCAACCGGTGGTACTTGAGACCGTTTTGGTTCTTGTATGTCTTTTCACACCCTATCACCGGACACTTGAACGGCTTATGTTCGTCATTTTCCATCACGTAGAGATGGCGGGCGGGGTCGTCAATGTACATCGTATTGTCGTCATCATCCATGGGGGTGCCCTGGCGTCCCTGCAGCCGCGACTGGCGGCTTTGTGACAGGGACTGAGCCGGCAGTTGTTGTTGCTGCTGCTGTTGGACCTGCTGCTGGAATTGCGGGGCAAATTGCGTCGGCGCCACCAGACTAGAGTTGCCCGGTTGAGACTGGGACTTCATGTTGCCGCCAAAGTGGTAGTTGCTCTGGTGGTTATTGTTCAAAAAGACATCGGTGGTGCTCACAGTTTCCATGATATTATGCATAATGTTCAAGTTGTTACGAGCGTGGCGCAGAGGGTCCAACATCGGGTGAGGCTGTTCTTGAGGCGGCAGTGGCAGGATGTGAGCCTCTTCGTAATGTCGCAATAAGTCGTGAAGAGTCGGTAGTAACTCGCCACAACACAGGTAGTCTTTACAGTACTCCAGTTCCAAATCCGGCAAATACAGCGCCATGGTCGGCGGCAGCATCAGCATCTGATGATTGTGGTGGCGGAACAGGTCGCGGCGGTAATGCTGGTGCAGCAGGGTGGCTTGGGTCATCATCACTTCATCTTTGAGCCACAGACCGATGGTGACCAGCCCCCACAGCACCCCGCCCATCCCTTGGGAATGGGCCAACAGCTCACGCCGGACGCGGGCCGGGGCTTGGAAAATCAGCGCCCTCAGCCCCATATTAATGTCAATAGGCTGGGGTTGGGGCGGCCCCTGGCTGGTGCCGTGGTTGCCATCGATGGCGTTCAGGGTTGGGGAGGTTTCGAAGATCCTCGTATTAAACATGCTGGGCGCTTTCACACGACGGTATCAAGTAGTAGCAACGGGGCTGTATAAGAAATTGCCCCCAATATCTGTTGGTGGCGACAGGCCCGAGGCTAGTGTAGTGAAAGAGGCCGGGGAGGCTTGAGGGATCGTGAGTATCGCTGAGCGGCGTTGGTTGTGTATATGGGCCAAGGTGCGTGCATGGACCAATAAATTTCTTTTTATTGGATGAGGCGGGTAACATCGAGATGCCGAAGCGGCCAGAGCCCGTAGTTGCTCTTCGGTTGGTTATGCCTACTTGTTCGGTGGTACCAGTGTTATTGTCGTGTTAACGTGGTGGTATGCTGACCAGATTTGCCACTATCTTATTGTGGGTGCGTGAGTCCCGAAAAATAAATTCGACATCCACTCCAGAAAAAACCCTCTACAATTAGTATGTTGATCACATTATAGTCCCGCTTGAAACTTGTAGTCTGCTGACGAGTCAGCAGTCCAACCAGGGTGGAGGCGATCCAGATTTACTCTAGCGCCACTAAAAGTGTTCCCGCCACCACTTTAGCTCACCCTAAACGAATAGGGCAAGAGTGGAGGGAAGGCATTAGTAGCGGCTAGTGAGGAAATAAACTTTGCCGGCTGGTTTTGTATGTCGCGAGCGAGCCGTACTGCATATAATCGTTTCACGTGCCAATCCAGCTTTAGATTAAGGGGACAAACCCTAGCCGCTTGGCATATCCCCACGATTGTTCGAAAGACTTCGGTGTTTGAGCCCACCCGCTCACCAGAAATGGATTGCCGTTGCTGAGAACGACTTTTAAGACTTACATGAGAACGCAACCGACATATGCTGCATTACACCCTCAGTGGTCTTATCTCTCATTCTCACTGCTGACAAGATCTTACGTCATTTCGTGACACTAAAGGGGCGCGAATAGCCCCAAATACGTTGCTGTTTTGCAGCCATTAGTGAGTGTTATCAATGATGCTAATTATTATTGCTCTATAAATGCTGTAGACTGATTATCTCGTTTGCTTCACTATCTGGCCGTCGTTCTGCACCACTAACTCCTCATCGTAATCAACGGCAATCACAGGACCATTCAAGGGGAGTACGAGATTAGGGAACTCGTACTTTTCCGTTTGCTCCCGCCGTTCGTCAACAGTCTGCTCTCTCGATATTTCAGGAGTGTCGATGGCCCGAAGAGCAATGTACTCCACAAGCGGCACGTAGCTCTTTTCAAACTGGAAAAGGCAGTACACAGTGTATAACGGAAGGGGGGCAATGAGCGTCGCGCCAACGTAGGCCTTACGAAGCCCGAGCATCCCCGCCATAGTCAACTGGAACAATAAGAGCCCAATGATGATCCGGCGAAAAATCATAATCCACACTTTGCCAGTGGAGTGAGGTGGGTGGATACAAGCATAGAGCAATTGGTACTTGTAAACGTAAAAACCACAGATGAAGTATACCAACCCTGCCGTCAAAATCTTCAGATTCATGATGGAGTAAAGAATCGTGATGATGAAGACAAGAATTGGCGTGGGAAGCTGGAGTCCAAAATTGAAGTTCGGTGGGTTGTACATCCTGAGGTAGTCCCTCGGGGTCTTACACACAAACCATGACCCCAAACTGTAATTAAATAAGTTGCCGACGAGCAATAACTTATACGGGAACAAACCGATCCCCAAGAGAATCGTCAAGTGAATGTAAAACACCAGTAATTCTTGTAACTTTTCGGCAAGAGTTTTGGCGATGAGCCCAGTGTCGGTCAAGTTTACCGTACCAAATAATGTGAAAATCAAAAACAAATTGACGAAGTTGTAGAAGAAGTTCTTGGCCACTGACGAAAGTTCTTCATCTGAATGCAGAGCATAGCCCTGGATCTCGGTGATCCAAATAAATAAGTAAGGCACTACCACATTGAATATGGTGAACACATAAGGGGGAAGGATACGGGTAATGGCAATTTCAGCCCATGGGTGAGCCTTGATCATTTCTGCAAGTCCCGGTAACACTTTCTGAATCAGTTTGAGTTTGAGGAACTTGGTAAGGTAAACCACCAAGTACAGCATCACTACCGACACGAAAAAGATCAAAAAGGTTACAACGGTACGACGAATGTTTCTTTCTTTTCTGGTAAGACAAAGATTGTCCCAGATGATATCATGCGGCGCCGGCGCCGATGAAGTAATAAGATGGTTCACCTTAGGGTCAAGCACAGCCTGAGCAAGAAGCTGAGCCTGTGCCACCGATTCCATAGTGACGAATGCTGTCAGCGACGCGGGGTATTCTCTCTGACGAGCTTTGTTGATCTCAGCGTCCACCACTCGGAGTTGATCCAAAGTGTAGTTAATCGCGTCGACTTTGGGTCCAAACAACCCGAACCACCCTTTATGGAAGGTGGGACGGTTTTCGCTAGTAGTGGGAGCAGCAATCTCTGAAATGTGGTCGAGAATCAGCGGTCTCGGCAGCAGTGTCAGCAGTTGTGTCGACACTTCGCCGGCTTCCAAATCACGGTACATCATCCCCACGTTATCACCATGTTCCACCTCAATATTAGAGCTGAGCAAATCAGTTTTACTTTTGATTCCACACAGTTTGAGATACTGAACCCAGTATACTTCAGCTTGGCGCAAAATTCGGCGTCGAAGACGGAATAGCTCATTAAGGTCGTGCCATTCTCTCACGATCAAAATATCATCGACTTTGCCGATATGTAATGCCTCAACTTTCTGTTTAAGTTGACCTTCTTCACGAAGAATGGGAGGAATACCCTGGATTTTGACAGTGCGATCGGTGATGGCATCTTGCGATCCAAGATACGTTTGACGCATGTCGATGATTTTCAGGGTGGTCTTGAAAAGAAAGTAGAGCACCAATAGAGTGATCACGTAGGTGAACACCGTATAGAGCCACTGAAGGCGCTCATACTGAAGCTGGGGATCCTTCTCCTTATCAAGCCCCTTCTCATCATCAAATCTGCCGGTGAAGTGATATCTTATCGGTAAGATAATCGTGTAAGCAAATACCAAACACACCACTATTGTTTTGATGGCGAATTTGAAGAACTGTAGGAACACCGCGGCATCAAGCCCGGCGTTGGCCAATACCTGATCTTCTGATACCCGATAGAGAACAGGCATCCATCCAAATAACGATGATGGTAGCTTGGGGAGGCTTTCCTTCCTTATCACATGAGGGTTGCGATGGTTAAACTCCGTGAACTTAGCGACGTAGATTTTGGGGTACTTCGACCGCAACACGCAAAATAATAGGAACGCCAGAAGCCCAAATATCAGTGCCACCCCTACTTGAAGGAGGGTGCTTGTCTGCACCTGGGGGTTGAACGGATCGTAATCGAGTGCCATGGATTATAAAAGCCGCACGCGATTCGGATGATATGCAATCGTAGCGGAGTGACATTTTCCTGCTGATCGCACGACGCACGCTGTATAGCCAAAACTGTCGGCTTTCGAGGTCACGACTTTAACAATTTAAATTGGTGGGAGATGAAAATCCTCGACGGAAGACCGATGACACTAGTAGATTTTGGCTGAAGGGAATTTCCATACATCTCGAGGGAACGCTTGACTTCATCCTTAAAGCCAATCTTGAAGCGTTCAATACAGAATGGCGCCACACGACAATTAATTAGTAAAACGTTATAAGGGCTTTCAAGCCTTTAAGATCATCTCTTTCTAAAAGGCAGGAAATTTTAAAGTGGTAGTGGTTTCAAGTTGTCTATCCAACATCCTTTCTATATTGTTCAGACTCAGAATCACGCACTCGCGGTTTCGTGTTTGTCGCGTTGTATGTACGCGTACACCTAAGATGGAGTTGCTGAATCCTGTTGCTCTCAAGCAGTTCATTGATGAACAGGTCGAGCGGATCCGAGCTCCGCTACAGCTTCAGCCGCAGTTCCTCAACCACCAATTTCTGGAGTCACAAGTGAACAAGATTTTGAGTCGAATATACACCCATGTCAATAACTACTGTGACAAGGCGTTTCGAGAGGCGTTCACCGAGATGTTGGTGCAATTAATAAGTGATCAGAAACGTGAAGAGTATGAACAGCTTGCCAAAGCGTATGCTGAGTCGAAATTGCTTGTGGACTACGTGGTGGCGCCGGTGACAAAAGTACCCACGGGGTTGACTCCCGAACAAAAGCTAGCGAAGATGCAGAAAGTGATCGAGGCGCTTCCTGAAGCGAAGACCATGACCGGTAGTGCGCGTTCAAGGGCTTACGGCCAGGCCCGAGCAGATTTGATTGAGGCTTATACCAAGATGAGGACAAAGCGAGCCCAGCTAGAACGATTACGAAGTCTTCACCAACAACTTCGAGGTATCACCGCGATCGTAAAGCCTAAAGTGCTGTCAGGAATATCTAATGATGCCCTCGACAGTGATGAAGAAGTCGAGCGAGCCACCACGGTGGGAGAGTACGCTGATCCCGAGCCAGAGATCAAACAGTTCATTCAGTTAGTGGACACGAAGATCGTACAGAAACTGACATGAAGTGTTATCATGAGTGAGACGATTACGGCGTTCGCAGCCGCAACTCTCGCATCACGCCCACGCCTATCGAGTATAAGCGGCTCATCGACTACAGGCAATAGGGCACTACAATATAAAAGGTTTCCGAATTACGTTTATTATACAGGTAAAGTACAAACACGCTTAGTCGAACAAGCCGAAACCCATGTCGTCGTCGGATTCTTCCTTGGCTTCTTCTTCCTTTTCTTCGGCGGCAGCGGCTTCACCACCAGCGGCGGCGGCGGCACCACCAGTGGCAGCGGCAGCACCACCCGAGGGGACCGAGGCCAACTTGGTGTTACCTTCGGCAATCAACTCGTTGATGTCCTTGCCTTCCAAGTCCTTCAACAAGGTCGAAAGTCTGTCTTGTTCGACTTCAATGCCGACAGATTCCAACAAACCCGAGATGTCTTGGGCGGAGGGGGCGGTGTTACCACCTTGAACGAGCAACAAGTAAGCGGCCAAGTACTTCATGGTAAGATAATCGAATTAAGCGGAAGCAGACTATCCTCTCTGAAGTAGTCAAAATTTTTCACCCGCCTCTTGTGAGGGGATGGTGGTGCGCGCGCGCTGGAGACAAACTCAGGGCTGAACCCTAACCACCAGGTACGGCTACGCAAGTGACGGCCCCTCAACGAGCCACGCCACCGTTTGAAGGGTTGATAAATGTTGATATATGTGATTTCATGAAACCCCATCATTATACACTATCATCGTTGTTGGTTTGATGTTGCCACTGTCAACTTGTTTAATGTCAGGTCACGTGCAAAATAGATTTCTCACGTGAGGCAGATATTCCTCCAGCCGCTGGCGTCGCGCACCGACGACCATATCGATTTCCGTGAAAAAATCTTTTCCACATCAGTCATGGTTGAAGGTATGTAACCTCATATACACGGCAGTGCCTCTGATGGTGATGTGAATCGCTGTTTGAGTAAGGGCACCCTTGTTCCAATGTTGGCAGTCACTAACTCGTTATAGCTAAGAAGAACAGAGTGTTCAAGACCTTCTCCTTCAAGGGTGTTGACCTTAAGGACCTCGTCGAATTGAAGAACGAGGAATTTGCCCAACTCTGCGGCGCCAGAGTGAGAAGAAGATTCTCGAGAGGCCTCGGTGCCAAGCCCATGGGTTTGATCAAGAAGTTGAGAGCCGCCAAGTTGGCTTGCCCCGAAAACGAAAAGCCCGCCATCGTCAAGACCCACTTGAGAAACATGATCATTGTCCCCGAAATGATCGGCTCCGTCGTCGGTGTCTACAACGGTAAGGTTTTCAACACCGTTGAAATCAAGCCCGAAATGGTCGGCCACTACTTGGGTGAATTCTCCATCACCTACACTCCCGTCAGACACGGTAGAGCCGGTAACGCCTCGTCGAGATTCATGCCCTTGCGTTAAGAAGGATGGTACGCGGGTTTGTACAGTAATAATAGATAACAGTAACGGATACTTTGTAGGTGTAATCGGTATAGGCTATTTCACGCCAGTGTCTAGGCCTTCCCCATTTCCTCGATAGCTAGGGCGCATCGCGTAATTCTTCGTCAAATCAAGTAGAGTCTATTACTGGCTGCGCCCCATCCCATACTACATCGCTTGCTTCAACTAAGAGATGCCCAACGAGTTGGACCCCGTGCGGGAGGTCGTCTTCGGCGCCGTCGCCGGCATGGTGGGGAAGCTCGTCGAGCACCCGTTTGACACCATCAAAGTCAGAGTACAGACGGCGGGCGATGCTCTGACGTGGTCGATGATCACCGATACCTGGCGCAATGAGGGCATCGTCCACGGGTTCTACCTGGGGATCAGGGCGCCCATCGTCGGCGCCTGTCTTGAGAATGCCATTTTGTTTCTGAGCTATAACGCCGCCGAGGTGTTTTTGGACAAGTTTGTTGTCAAGAGAGAGCTTGAACTGCAGCCGATGCCGTTCTGGACCAAGATTGCGCTGGGGGCGTTCGCCGGGTTCCTGGCGCTGTTTGTGCTCACACCGGTGGAGCTCGTGAAGTGCCAGTTGCAAGTGCTCAATTTGACCGGGAAGCGTGAGGGCTACGGGCTGTTGATCGGGTCAATCGTCCGCCAAAATGGCATCCAGGGCCTCTGGCACGGTCTTCTGTCCACCATCACTCGAGAAGTAATTGGAACGGCTATCTGGTTCGGGAGTTACGAATACTGTACTGCTAAGCTCCAGGAGAGGCAAGTGAGTCCGCTGACGGCGTCGCTCATCAGTGGTGGTGTTGCCGGTGCGTTATTTAACAGTCTGGTGTTCCCCGTGGACACGATCAAGCTGAACATCCAGACGTACGAGGTGCTCCACGGCCAGCGGGTAGGTGCCGCTTTCGTGGCCCGTAAGCTCGCTCAGCGAGGCATTGGCGCCTTCTACCAGGGGCTCGGGATCACATTGGTGCGGGCCGTCCCCGCCAACGCCCTCATCTTCTACACGTACGAGTTGCTCAAGCGACACTTTGGCCCCCTGGTGCTGGGGAAGCCGTCGGCGTTGGACATCTAGGCAAGAAAAAACGGTGGGTTATAGAATTTATGAAGTTTACGTCGCATATTATCATCTAAAGAAGCGTGGCAGCGTGGGTCAAGTTGTCGACATTCAAAAAGTCACCGCCCAACAGGAAGATGTCCCGCAAGTGCGAGTCGAGCACCAGGTTGGGCCAGGTGATGTCGCCCCACACCCGGGTCTTGAGCCCCTTGCTGTGGGCGTTGTCAAACGCGTCCTTCAATTGCTTCTTGTCGTCGTCGCTGAAGTCCAGAATCTGGGCACTCTTGTAGCTCTGTTGGTCAAGCACCAGTTCCAACAGCCCCAGCGCCACCCGACTGAGGTTGCCCCAGTCGTCCAGGGTGAGGTTGGCCAATGGGGCGTCGAGGTAGAAGTACCGCTTGGAGTCGGCCTTCACTAGCTCGGTGGGCAAGTTGCCGGTGATGGTGACGATGACGGGGCCAGGCACGTGCTTCTGCTGCTCGGTGTCGTAGTAAGCCAAGTAGTCCTCGTCGATAAACCGCTGGAAGTACTTCTTGACGCTGGGGTAGGTGTCGTTCCCTTGGGTCTTGAAGTCGAGCCAGAGGTATACCGGTTCCTCCGGCTGGTTCCACCAGATTGAGTACTTGGTATCGTGGGCTTCGACAAGGGTGATGTTAGGCGTGAACTTAGGATTGGAGAACTCGAGCCAATTGTACAAGTTGTCGAGGTACAACGCGTTCAACGTGTTCTCGGGCTTCAAAAACACCTGGTTGTGGCCGACGTAGATGTCGTCGGTGCCGAACTTGGTGTCCTGCGTTTTACCGCCAGGAAGCGTCTGGGTAAGCGTATAGCCTTCGGTGAAGACAAACACGTCGGCTTCGATCAGCTGGGCCCCGACTTTAACGGCATCGATGAGGGGGTCGTGTCTCCAGTAGTCGTTGTGGGAGTGCAACGGTTTCACGTAGACATCGCGTGTGAGCGACTCGATCGAGTTGTTGAAGGAGGAGGCGACGTCGACGTCACGGGAGAGGAGGCCGGCCATGTGGAGTACGGTGAGGGTTGCGGCACTGGCTAGGTACACTTGGTACATATATTGTCCATGATTCCGAACCACGTGGTTAAACGGTGCGGCGCCATCGTCAGGTGGGGCGGGTCAAGATTGACCATACGACGGGGGAAGGGTGCAACCCGCTGTGAACAATTGGTTTGTGCTTCGGCATTTGAAGTTACAAAGCGGGGTTGACAACCCAATCTTCTAATTTTAAATTTTTGATTAAATTAATTATTGGGTTGGTTAATCGTTCATTCATTAGATGGGTTATCTCAATAGACAACTACGAAAATTGTATCGAGGGGAGAGAAAGAGGGGTAGAGGCTCGTGGAGGTTACGAGGCGTTGCCCTTTCGGTCGCTCGCCTGCCGTGATCACAGGCACAACGCAACGCCGCCTAAACCGTGCCTGCCTAACTAAGCAAGGGACTGCCACAGTTTTTTTGCCCCTTCCACTGACGTCACGGCAGTTGGGTATCATGGGTTCGTCCCCGACAACCCAGTGTTGCTGGGTTCAGTGCGGATCGACTGCAAAATCTCGTCCAAGTAGTTTTTGATCCGGTCGAGTTTGGCAAGAGTGTTTAGGTATAATGGTCCCAGCGACGACCGGATCCGCGACTTGATGAAGTCCTGGTGTGATCTGATCTTGCTTTCAATGTTGTCCAATTTGGCATCGTCGACTAAGCACAGAGGCGCCTGCACCTCTGGGATCGTCTTGGTTTCATTAGTAGCCACTAAGTGGACTTTTAAGGCTCCAGTGGGTTCAGGTAATATCTGAATGTATTTGGTCAACACTGCCAACAGGGCAAGCACGATGAGATTAATCCCCAGCACTTCGAGGGCGGCGTCGCCGTAGCGGCTCCAGCCGGCGGACGACTTCAGGCGCAATTTGGGGTTCTGGTACCACTTGGCGTACTTGGAGTCGTCGATGACGGTGGGGCCAAACGTGATGTCGTAGCTTTCGTTGCTGGCCACCTGGCCCGCGGCGACGTAAGGGTCCATGAGCTGGCTGAAATCGAAGGCAGCGATGAACAATTTGACGAAGTTTCTCCACTGGTCAACGGTGAAATTGGAGATGATCTTGGGGTACTCCTCAAAGTCACACATGTTCGTCACCAGCACGTCGGCCACAAGCGGCAAGAACTGGGAGTTGCCGCCGCTGGCATTGGTGGTGGTGTCGGTGCCGTCCTGTTTGATGAAGTCCCGTTTAAACAACTTGAACAGCATGATGTCGTGCATGAAGTACAGGAACTTCAAGAGCGCCGCCGCCAGCAGGATGAGCTTGTTGTTGAACATGAACAGGTGGAAGCACAAAAGCCGCTCCTCGTGGTTGATCACCATGTACTTGGTGTCGATCAGATGCTGGATGTCGGGGTCCAATTGAGTGGACTCGTCATCGACTAAATTGTCCTTAACGATGCCGTCAAGCACATTCTCCAATACCCGGGCACAAAGGACCATGCAGCAATTTTCGCTGACGTGGGCCAACTCCTTAATCCGGGGGTCGTGGCGAGTAAGCACCCACTGGGACTCCCAGAACTCCGAGATCGAAAGCGGCACGATCAACTGGTTGTAGAGTTTGGTCAGCTCAAACCGTTTCAGCTCTTCGTCGTCCAAGATATTACCCAAGCGATCGTAGGGAAACCCGCGTGAGAGCCGTAGAAGCACTAGGTTGTTGATGTAGAACAGCCACACGAGGCGGAGAAGCAACTCGCGCTCGTACACCTGCCTCTTAGTGACATGCTCCAGCTTGACGTAGTTCTCCAGGTTGAAGATCTCCATGCACTTGTTGCGGTCGATGATCCCCCACATTAATTTATTGTAGAAATTGAGCTTGGGGAGGTTGTAGCGCACGTAGGTACTCTTGCACAAGAGCGTCGAGCACAAGAGCACCGAGAGATAATTGAGGTTTTCCCAGTGCTTGTCGACCAAGCTGAACCAGTAGCACTCGTCGGCCTTGATGCCGACGTTGGGGAACATCGGGTCCTCGATCAAGCACACGTTGAGTATGATGCTGTGGAGAACGGCGGCGTCGACGTTCAACGATAGCCGGCGCACGAACAGCTTGCGGTCAGGCAACACCATGTGGTTGGGGTGGATGTGTTTATAGAACAATTTGAGCACGACGTCCATCTGGGACCACCGGGGCAAGTCGTATTTCGCCAACTCCCGGTCGGTCCACGGCTGGTCGTCGACGGCGCCGGTGTCGTACGGCGACACCAGCGGCGGGTGCGAGATCGGCAGCGCCGCCGCGATGGTGGTGGCGACGGCACTGGTGAGCGGCTGGCCAAGCTTAGGCTGCTCCGACACCGAGCTGCCTCTGGTAGGGCAGTAGCGGCTGTCGGCGACCTCCAGCCCCAGGTACAGCTGGTCGGACACGATCAGCGGTGCCAGCGGCGCCAGCGGCACCAGCAGCACCGGCGCCGGGGTGAAGGTGGCGTGGTAGTAGCCGGGCTTCATCGACGGTAAGTACGGGGTGGCGGCGGGGAGGAGGCTGGGCACCAGCACCGGCTTGGTGTAGCCTACTATCGGCGGTGGCGACCCTGGTGCTGTTGGTGGCGGCGGCGGCTGCGTCGGCGGGGCGCCGGCGCCGATGTGGGGCTGCGTCACAAGCACATGAACGAGGTCGGGGTGCAGCGAGAGTGCCTGGCGTTTTGTGGGGGTAGCGGCGTCGGGGGAGCGTTTGCGACGCCGCCCGCCCCGGTTCAGCTGGACAAACACACACTCGTGGCCCAAGAACTGGCAGTTGGAACACACACGGGTGCGTTGAGGGACGACTTTGTTAAGTCCGTTGCACGAGGTCACAGTCAGCACCGGCTCGCCGTCGCACTTGATCTTCTTCTCGCGACACAGAAGGCAGGCGCGCCGGGCGACGGGGGGGTGCGGCCGCGGTGGCTCCGGCATCGGGTACTCCCGCGGCTGGTACTGGGTCATCATGGCGGTCGAGCTTCGGGGGCGTGGGTGGTGGGGGGGTATATAACCAGCCAGGCTCGGGGTCGTCGAAGCGACGCCCGCCGATTGTTTTGTCGTCCGGCATTTACCCCATGCCGACTTCACCGCCGTGCATAGCCCGTCATGGGGCCCAGGCGCCTCGGCCTATGGCGGGGACAATGGCGACCCGGCTAGCATCGACGACAAACGATGACTAAGCCGCGATCGCCGCCGCCCCAGGCGACGAGGGTGCCTCGTCTCGGTCCCCGTGCGTTGCCGGCGTCCCCAAACCCGGCAATG